GAGGAGGAACTCTATCCCACGCAGTGGACAGAAAGTGAGTTTGTATAAATATTTTCAGTCGGACATATTCATGTACAAGCACCTTGTATTTCCCTACTTTGGACTTTGTGATGACTTTATTAGAAACAAAATTGTATGAAACATTTGTCGACGTGAGTAACTAGGCGTTTCCACTGCGTTACAGTGATGGTGAGGGTGATGAGGAGCACGAAGGGAGTTTTGGACTAACTTATAGTGTCTTTATGCCCTTTTGAACAAAACGTCTATCAAGAGAGCTCATTGTATTGTTGAAGGCACTGCAAAAAGGCAAATCCTCCTCCCACTTATCTTCGTCTTCTTCTTCTTTTTTCTCCAATTTTAAGGAACAGGGCAAAAACAGGTGGAGATGGACACTATGCGTGAGTTGGATGTCACTTTGGTGGAGTTTGTTCTTTCTTGCCATCCACGTGGGACGGTGAAGAGGACACCTGATCTGGCATTCTATGCACAAGTTTTATTGTGTAGAGGCAAATTACACCGTGAAAACCAGAACAGGCGAGGTGGTGGGTGGAGACACCGACGCCAAGGTCTACATCGCTCTTGTGGGTGACATTGACGCGACTCAATTTGTGCGTTTGAAGTACAGTCACGCTGATACTGGACGATTTCGTGTTGGACAAGAGGACATTTTCCACTTTAGTGGTCCTTTTGTAGGAAAGGTGAAGTTTAGCATGTCTATCAAACATTGTAACACACCTGCTACTTCAATAGTAATTATTTTTTTCTTTTTCGTACACCTTTTATCCCACCTTAGATGGAGTCGGTAAGGTTGATGCTAGAGAGACGAGACGAGAAGTGCGCATGGTACTTAAAACACCTTTCCATAACGGTGAATGAGGTATCGCTGCGGTATCACTTCAACATTGACCGATGGCTGTCCAAGCATAAACATGATGACAAAAAAGTGTACGAATTCACACCCTCCTCAATCGAGCGCATCTACTCAGGTAAGGAAAGATTGAAGGGAGGGAAGACGTTGTCACGACTTCAGTAAATTAGCATAAAAGAGCTGCCAAAAGACCATTTTGAATGGCATTACGTCACGTAAATCTACTTAATACATACTGAAAACAATAAACAGTAGTATTGTTTATGCCAACTTGATTTGTGATAACGCCTTGAAGGCATTGCAAAGGAGTACTGATTTATGTTGTATGCCTCTTCCTCTCTTTTCGCCTCTCTCTCTTCCACCTACTAGCTGTGCCTTATGAAATAACCTTCTACACCGGAGAGGCCTCCAACTGTGGAAAGGATGCAGTGGTTCACCTCCAAGTCTTCGGCACCAAAGGCGCAAAGCAAACAGAAGTGCTGTTGTTTAAGACGGATGGAGGAGCATTCAATGCTGGCAGTGTAGACAAATTTATTGTAAGTTAACCACTTTAAGGACTTTAAAAGTGACAGATCTGTGCGTGTGTGTGTGTGTGTGTGTGTGATTGTCAAGGTTATGATTAGCTTGACATGTAGGAAAGGTGAAGTTTCGTATTCCTTAAGGTATACACCAGTGAGGTGGGCGACATCACCAAAATACGAGTGGGTCAAAATGGCAAAGGACCATCGTCACACTGGTTGCTAAGGCAAATACGCATTCGTAAACCATCTACACACATTTGTACCCACTGTCATGGAGAAGTGTGTCCCAATCTACAAACTACTCGTAAGTCTCTTGTTGTGATTGTCAAACAGTTTCTCCAAGCCA